CGTATACATATCTCCCTCTGTTTTGTATTGTCATTAATTTACGTCAACATGTGCCGATATATATTAAATTCATTACACTTCTTTTTCTCAAATTTAATTTTTGTAAGTTAGAATTAAAACAAATGTACATGATACTTACTTTAAACAATTGGTTTAATTGACAAAATAGCAGTTTCGTGCCTCCTGGTTTGTTTACATCTACCGTGACGATCTAGGGAACAAAGAGAACGCGAAAGAGTGCGCGTGAAAACCGATACTCTACACCACGTGGTGCTGTGACCACCTAACATAGTCAATTGACTATGCAGGTAGTCATAATGACTTGATGGGTAGTCATATATGCTGTTGACTACCTTTCGGCTAATATTTGACTAACTAAATAGTCATAGTGACTAATTTAAATTTTCAGTGCATGGTACATCGAAGTTTTGCAAGCGCTTCTGAAAGCATGACCGGTCAACTTTGATCATTCAGATAAGGTCATCTGGCTCGCGCTTAGCCTATTTTCTAGCATAGTTCTCATCTGTATCGATCAATGACCTGAAATTCTTCTTCCAGTTGATTGGTTGGGTATTTTGATAATTCCACCTTACAACTCTCTAAGTTGTTCATTGTTTACGATACCGTTATACAGTGCATGACCAGAAGAACTAGATTTGTTTAAGGACAATGAACAAGAACAATCGACGCCACACTTAGTTGTGCAGTGATGGCATGTATTATAAATCAGGCATTTGTTGTTATTTAACATTGTGTAAATGAACTGTTTCGCTGTATCTGTTCTACAGTCATCAATAGTTTTGTTTGGCGATTCCAAAATATACAATCATTTTATAAATTGTTTTACATTTGCCATTTCGGTGTTTTATATAGCATGCTATGCGATATATGTTTTGCTCACTGTTGAAGGCCGTACGGTGACCTACTGGTTTATAGTTGCAAACTTCTGCGTCATTTGACCTATGGTGGGGACTTGTCTCATTTATCTCATTGGCAATTATAACCATATCCTCCTATTTCCTGGCCTTAACCCTTGGGGGACACTTCGACCTTTTTGGTAGGGTGAGCTGCTGTACCCCCAGAGTTTTCATATATTTTGAATAACAATAACACATACCCTATCATATATTCAGTTTGACAAAAAATATACCGATAGCTATATATGATGCTTGCGATATTTCATGGAGAGATAAATAGATTTGACAAATATCTTATGCATTTATGACTAGTTTTAATCGCATTTGTGAAAAATAAATCAACATATGATTAGTTTCCGATACTTATACATGTTATAATTCAATCAGCAACCCGGTCCTCTTGTCATATATGTGATTGTCAACTTAAATTCTCGACCTTATTACATAGCATGAAGCTGGAAAAAAACTACCTATTCCAGCGGCTCATCCCTATATTTAATAACATAGTAAGTGCCCATTCCCTCAACCCATCCCGAGCCTTAACCTTGTATCCTTGTATAATTTCTGTTCACCTCTAAATTAAAATTATGTAAATAGCCTGAATTATTCCTAAATACAGTTTAAACGAATTAAATTGTTCACTCGCCTCAAAGTCAGTAAGGTTGTAATACATTGTGTAACTCAAGTCTGGTATGACAGGAGAATACATTTTTTCTAACTGACTGACATTATATATTTTTCAGTAAAAGTCTTATTACATAACATTAACTCGCAGAAGAAAAAAATACGGTTCTTATTCTTCTTTCTCTCTAATGTCGAACTTCGTGTTCCGGATTCTCAGAACCGTCGTAAAAAAAAGGTAATTAAAAAAAATGTAATGAAACAGTTCAAGATTTTTAAAGTAACGTTTATATAATATATTACTATAGATAAGCAATAAGCACTCCAATTATAAAAGTTGTTATTCTGTTCACTTATTCAAATAAAGATAATTACCTCCCTTTTAAATTCCTGTTTTTTAATCATTATGATCTACATTTAAGTATTTCTTATAATATGCTTCATAGGTTAAGGTAAACAAGTAATGTCAAAAACTGTTTAGACATTTTGAATTATATTTTCACTAACAGTGCCAGAAAATATAAATAAGAAGGATATATAAATCTTCAATACATCATTTGAAAATGTAACACGTTTATTACTTAAAACTGTTCTACCATTGCTAGAATTAGTGGTTGCTAGTTTGGTCGCTAGCTTGAAAAAAATATATGGCTAAATTGTGAACAATAGTTCACTTTGCATGATTGAACAACAGTAGTGGGCAGGACAACATATGAGCTGCGTCGGATCGAAATCGACATTACGCAAGTGCATGTATACATGTACATGTATAGGACTTTGATAGATTTTGGAACATTCAAATACGAAATAAAAGAGGATTGTATGCCTTTTTTGTAGGGTTCTTATATAAACTCGATTTGCAAATGGTAACAGACTTAGCATAGAACTTTTTTTTAACCCGAAATAAGTTTAACAGATGTATTGATATTAATTTGCATAAGGTCGAATTCTATCCGACGCAGCTCATATATAATCATTTTTTTACAACATCTACTATATGTCCCAAAATCTCATATAAAGTGTTTGCCTAAAAAGAGGCTATCTAATGTCTGAAACATCCTCTTTAAAGCAGACAAAATAATACATATACAAACAATATGTGCACATTGTCGAAAAATATAAAACTGATCTGTACAAGCTTTAGAAACAGAACGTTTTGTAGCGAGTTTAAATACATTTTATATTTCCGACAATGTGCATTTATTATTTTTATCCGGGCTGCAATTCAAACCTGCCACTTGAAGCGTTTTAGTTGTTTAAATCACAGGCTTGCGTTATATTAAGGTACATAGGAATTTTTTTTCAGAGACAAGTGCCTGTGGTTAAAATCCAAATAGTTGTCTCTGATTTTTCATGGACACACTTAAAACGCGGACGTGAAGAGGACACGAAAATAATCACGCGATTTTCATGAGTTAATTTACGCGTAAAATTTTGCGAATATTACCCGAAATTTTCAGATAAATGTTAGCACAAGCTTTAATAAAACCGAAGCTTTCGTTTTTTGGAACCTAGTAATAGATATGTCTCTACTGGTACCAATGTTTGTTTTATACACTAACAGTCATTTCCACGCATCCATGTAAAAATACTCATTGCATTTCAAGGACTGTTAATAACTTTTTAATTTTAAATAAAATGAACAATTGCAAACTGAAGTTTTCATTCCAAAATCTGAGGATAAAATAAAAATTAAAGATAAAGCAACAGAGGATATATATATAGTAGCTGTTGCTGCCATTGAACCAAACGAGGATTATTTTCATTAAAATCTTCTTGAAAGACACTTATTTCAGATGTCGATAGTACGGATAAAAAGGCGGTCATTTTCTAAAAGACCCTGAAATTATTCGCAAAATGTAGTTTGAATACAAAATTTGAAGGCGGGTTGATAAAATTTAAACTCATGGAGCACAAACCAGCTTTGGTACCGGCTGTTTCCACGCGATATCTATGCCTAGACTTTAGATACTTGTGAAGACGGAATCCTGACAATCCTAGAGGATATGCATTTTGCAACAATTGATAGTCACGGCTTGGGCAATGACAAATATTTGAAATATATACTTTTAATAAGGTAAGATTATGATGAAATAAAGTTGTACGTGTCAAAAATATATAACCAGTCATCTTAACAGTCTATTTAAAAAAAATGAATAGTTAAACATCAAAATGCCAGCTGTATAAAGAAGGTGCTTTACATCAAGCTTTGACGTTTTGTACAGAAGTCGGTTGAAATAATAGAAAAACGACGTCGAGTTACGTTACCATTACTAAAGTCTTAAACAGAACACCGTGCGTAACGTCACAAGTGTTACGAAAAAAGAATTATTCACATTTAAAAATCTGGCACAACATCGAAACGGGATAACAGTAGACTTTATTTGTACAGGTACACATATAGCAAAAATTGTGTGTACCTGTAATTTTTACAATAGTAGTCTGATTGCAGAATATTGTAATTTCTTTGTAAAAAAGCCACACTCAAAATATTACTATCGTTAACCGTCTTCCAACTAGAACATTTATGACACTACTAAAACGATAGGACCAGCTTCATATATATCTGGGCTTACTTGCAACTCGATCATGTTAAATGGAAGTTTCAACCGAAGAGTGCTGTCTTAGCGTTTGCAATTCATAAACGCCTGGCTTTCTGTTTCTATTTTGTCAATACATTTATCTCTTTATGAATTTATCATCATGATCGTTCGTGTAATGTTCTTTCGTTTCTAATTGTATCTCTATTTTCTATACCTGTTTGTTGTCAGAAATCGTAAGAGCAGACTGTATCTTGGGTATTAAAGTAACAAACTCTTTAAGCAGGTTGCCAGATTTTGCAGAATTTTGTACTCATACATGTTGGTTTTCGATATTTTAACTGACTACCATATAGCTAAACTGCTTTGAGACAAGGTAACAAAAATGCAGTTTTCAATAAGTTTATTTTTTTATATATATATATAGAAAAGCAATCCATAATCGTCTCCAAAAAAATAATCTCACAGATACCGTCACATAGACCCTAAACCTCATCCCGACCTCGGACTTATTAGAATTGAAGTATACGAATGGGTATGACAATTAAAGAGAGTAAAACTCAAAATTTGGTATAGATTTTCGCATTTGAGTATAAAACAACTGAATTGTATTCTATTCAGTAATATGCAGCAACAATACACTAGGCGTGACGTTGTTTTTTTGTAGATGATTATACGAAAATGTTTGCATTTGTGAAAATTTAAGATAGCGTTGTAAAATTTGGCACTTCTAAATAATATGTGTAGTGTAAAATAAATATAAATTTACATATGGATCGATCTATATTAACCATGCCAGGGTCAAAAAATTTTATAAATGTTTCTTCCTCTCCTTCTGTCCAAATATAAATAACAAACTCAAAATATTTTGAGGGAATGTTAATTTTGTGGGAGTCGTTTTCATACAAATTTCTTCTTGCGCAGTTCGCAGATTTCCTTATCACACAAGTCGATCAGTAAACAACCTGACGTGTAAATACAGTCGTGGTATATTTCAAGTACGTGCATAATTAGTCACACACTTCTCGTGTGCAAAAGATTGGTGTATACTAGAATCAGGAGAAGAGGTAAGACTTATTTATTTTTCTGTTGATTAAATATTTTTATATTACTTTAACATTCTGAAATTTCAAATAGAATTAATGATTATGGGGGTGTCAGTCTGATCTAACCATGAAAGTATTATCCATGGTGTGACATAATAAAAATTTATCTTAATTACAAAATATCCCAAATTATCTTTGATAAGAGGGTCAGTATAACTTCGTTATCAAACACATGGTTTCCTTGTTAATCAAAACGAAGGATTAGAGTTTTACCCTAGGGGTGTTTTCTTCTTAAACAAAGAGAAATTGTAACGATATTTGATATTTTTACAGTGCCAAAGTTTTGCTGAAAATGTGGCGGCCATTTTTGCTGTTCTTGTTGGTTACTTTTGTTACAGCGCAGGTTCATATCAAGGTTGCAGCTCCAGAGGTGAGAAAGTTATATAAACAATGTCTAGTCTAATTTCATGCAGCTTGACCTAAGCCAACACCCTATTTACATGCAGTCTTTTTGTTTGTTTTGCTTTTAATCCTTCTTTAAAAATAAGACACCGATGTTTCCGTAGTAACGTTTATTTTTGACTTCCGCTCACTGTTGTTTGCCAAATTAAATTTTTCTGATTCATAGTTGATGTCAGCCACTCTGTTGGGTGTCTACATTATTCATTAACGCGTCTTAAGATGAAAGAACGGTTATGTAATAAAGTATGGAGAGAAAGTGATCTGTCTATCAAAAATGCAATACGGAAATGTATTTAATTTGAAAAGGAAGCTGAGTACTAAATGAAATAGTTCTTCCCACTCACAAAGCATGAGAAGAGTTTAAAAGGTTCATTTTAACAATTGGGGTTTGTGCCTTTTAAAATAACAGTGTGTATACGGCATGTACTCATGTACTATATTTCTGTTTATTTTGCGGAATACTGTAAAATGATATAAATGTCCTGTTTTATTCTGGCAACGCGAATGGACATTAAAATGATACGTAATAAACTTAAAAAATTTGATAAAGCAGAGTGCATTCAATCTTTAATTTTTTTTGCCTCAACCAAATGTTATGAAACTTATACACAATGCTTATTACCACAAAACTCAGATCAAGTATGAATTTTGGTAGCGTCACTTTTACCGCTCTAGAGTTATGCTCCTTTACAAATGGAAACATTGCTGATTTTTTTCATTTCCGTTCTCTACTTAAGTTTGCCTCGTGCTTATTAACAAAAAACTCAGATCAAGTTCTAATTTGGGTGGCGACACCTTTAAAAAAAACCCGTTCTTGAGTTTTGTCCAATTGTAACGTTATATGCAAGCGGGGGCATCATCTGTGTCCCATGGACACATTCCCCATTTATTTTTTTATTTTCCTACGTTGTACGGATATTGTAAGTAAATTTATCTATAACGACTGAAATATCGCTCCTGTTTCTTAAAGCACACAGGCAAGTGAATGATAATGCATTTACAAAGACCAACAAGGGCAACATCAGTAGCGATGGAAAATAATTTTCCCTCAGTGGAGGACAAGAAAGGTTCAAACTTTTTATTAATATCTTAGAGAAATGAAGGCTTCAGAGCAAATGCAATGTGATTTTTCATTTTAATTAATATTTCCAAAGGGCATTACTCTTTAAAAGTATTTGATCGGCACTTATTTTTTGAAAGTGTCAAAGACATTGCTGATATAAACCTATGATATAAGTTTCATAAAATTCTGGCAATAATTGTACACATGAGAACGCTGACAATGTAATTTTCCATATAATCAATATTTCCAAGGGGGCCTATACTCTTTTAAAAATAACTGATCGGCACTGATTTTTGAACTCGTCAAACACATTGATGATATAAACCTATAATATAACTTTCGTAAAAATCTGGCAACAATTGTACACATTAGAGCGCTCATAAGGCAATTTTCCATATAATCAATATTTCCAAGGGACATAACTCCTTTAGAAATTATTGATCGTCACTAATTTTCGAACTCGTCAAAGACATTGCTAATATTAACCTATGATTTAAGTTTCATAAAATTCTGGCAAAAATTGTACACATCATGTTAGAGCGCTAACAATGCAATTTTACATTTATTTAATGTTTCCAAGGGACATAACTGTTTAAAAAATAATAAATCGGCACTGATTTTCGAACTCGTCCAAGACATTGTTAATATAAACCTATGATATAAGTTTCATAAAAATCTGGCAAGAATTGTACAAATGAGAGCACTAACAATGCAATTTTCCATATAATTAATGTTTCCAAGGGGCATAACGCTTTTAAAAAATAAATGATCGGCACTGATTTTCGAACTTGTCCAATATATTGCTGATATAAACCTATTATAAGTTTCATAAAAATCTGGCAAGAATTGTGCATGTGAGAGCGCTAACAAGACCGGACAGACGCCCGGTATTTCTATGTCCCCCGCAGGGACAATAACTTTATAAATAAAATCAGGCAGGCAGCGTTTCTGACCTAAAGAATATAATTTTTTTTCGCGGACTATATGTTTTTTTGATTGTGACTAATTGACTGGGACTTCGGCTCAGCAAGTCCCAAAATGGCCATCAAAGCAATCTCGAGCTTGACCATAATATGAAATAACCAAGTGGTAGGGCCCATTTCCTTGGTTATATTTTACGAACAAGGTCAAAATCCGAAATTCATTAAAATTCATTAGATTAATATTTGAGTGTAAAAAAAAAACACGAAAGAATTTAACAATTTTACATGTATATAGCCGTTAAATCAATATTTATTTTAAATTTTCCTTTATTATTGTGCAGACGGGGGCGATGCTGAGCTAGAAATAAGCGTTTTGCATTGCTGCTGATGACAAGTTTTGATACAATATCTCAAAAATTGTATGTTTCGTAAAAGTTTACATGCAAGGGGATCCTTTACCGACATAAATCAATTTATAAATGAAAGAAAAAAAACATAGCTTCATTTTCTTTATAACTTTAGTTTTCGTTAAGCATCATCGTGTTCTTCTGATTCATTTTTTCGATAATACTCAAAACTTGACAAAATGACGAACGGAAGGACGGTCAAGGGTCACTTAATGCCCCTGTTGCCTACGGCGGGGGCATAAAATAGAACTTCCATGTAAATGCAGTGTCAAAGTAACGAAGGCGGAACAGAGGTGGTGCAAATGGAAAGGAGATAAGTGGGAAAAAACTCAATATCAAACCAAATGAAAGGTTGATAAGAAAGAAGCTCGAAGTACTTAACATGTTGATATGATTTCATACTGTCCTAAACTCTTATAAACTTTCATATTTTAGAATTTTGATGATGATGACGACGAGGAAACGGATTCTGTACCCCAACCTGTAGTACCACAGCAAGCTAGAAGTGAACGAACAAGTGAGTGATTTCAAATAACCTGAATTCTGCCAGAATTTCACAAATCTAGGGTTTATTAAATATGAATGGAGGTGGATCGTTGAATGATTATGTAATTGAAGTAGACAGTAGACAATAATAAAAAAATAATAACCCTGATTAAAACGACTAATCCGTTACACCAGGGTTTTTGGTGAGATTTGCTCAGACTAAAGTTTTGAAAGGTCGTGTTTTGTATACTGTTGTTTGTCTTTTGGTCGTTTTTCTTTTTTTGCCATAGCGTTGTCAGTCTTTCGTCGACTTATGAGTTTGGCTAGATTCCGCTTCTCTTTAGTGAGAAAGTCAAGTCCCTACATGCTAGCTATCGCTACAAAAAAAATTGTAACTTGTGATATAACATTTTTATACGACCGCAAACAAATTTTTGTGGTCGTATATTGGTATGACGTTGGCGTCGTCGTCGTCCGAAGACACATTAGTTTTCGCACTCTAACTTTAATTTAAGTCAATGGATCTCAATGAAATTTTACCATAAGGTTCAATACCACAAAAGGAAGGTGGGGATTGATTTTGGGGGTTATGGTACCCACAGTTAAGGAATAAGCATTTTTGTAACTTCCAGGCATAACTTGTGTGCAAGTGTATGGATCTCTCTGACATTGTACCACAAGGTTCCATATCACAAAGGGAATGCTGGGATTGATTTTGGGGGTAATTGCCTCCAAATTTTAGGAATTAGGGGCCAAAAAGGGGCAAAAAACAAGCATTTTTCTAGTTTCATGACAATAACTTGTGTGTAAGTGTATGAATCTCTCTGACATTGTATCACAAAGTTCCATATCACAAAGGGAATGCTGGGATTGATTTTGGGGGTAATTGCCTCAAAAATTTAGGAATTAGGGGCAAAAAAGGGGCAAAAAAACAGGCATTTTTCTAGTTTCATGACAATAACTTGTGTGTAAGTGTATGGATCTTTATGAAATTGTACTACAAGGTTCCATATCACAAAGGGAAAGCTGGAATTGAGTTTGGGGGTAATTGCTCAAAAAGTTTAGGAATAAGGGGCCAAAAAGGGGAAAAAAATAAGCATTTTTCTAGTTTCCAGACAATAACTTGTGTTCAAATGTATGGATCTCTCAGAAATTGTATTGCAAGGTACCATACCACAAAGGGAAGGCTGGGATTGATTTTGGGGGTAATTGCCTCAAAATTTTAGTAATTAGGGGCCATAAAAGGGCAAAAAAACAAGCATTTTTCTAGTTTCAGGACAATGACTTGTGTGTAAGTGTATGGATCTTTATGAAATTGTACTGCAAGGTTCCATATCACAAAGGGAAAGCTGGGTTTGAGTTTGGGGGTAATTGCCCTAAACGTTTAGGAATTTGGGGCAAAAAAGGGGCCAAAAATTTTACAAGAATTTTTCTAGTTTCCAGACAATAACTTGTGTTCAAGTGTATGGATCTCTCTGAAATTGTACTGCAAGGTACCATACCACAAAGGGAAAGCTGGGATTGAGTTTGGGGGTGATGAATCATAGGGGGGTTCAAAAAATTGGGGGGGATTTTTTTTTCCTTATTTTTCTTCAAAATTTTCCATTTTAAATTGATTATTTCTGATTTATATATAAAAGCAAATAGTAATGATATGGTTTGAATAGGTAAATTAAAAATTTTTAAGTTCTTAGACCACTTTCATTCTGTGTGAGAAACCTATGCTGTGTCAAATATTTAATTACAATCCAAATTCAGTGCCGTATCAAGCTTGAATGTTGTGTCCATACTTGCCCCAACTGTTCAGGGTTCGACCTCTGCGGTCGTATCAAGCTGCGCCCCAGCGGAGCATTTTATTGACATTTCAAACGTTTGACTGTGATCATTCCTGATGAAGGTTAATCCAAAGAAAGACCTGGATATCAGCAAATTAGATATATTTGTTTTGCAATACTTACAATTAATTGTTACCGTCTCAGACTTAATTTTGTAATGTAAATGTTTATAAAATTCGTATAAACGTTGCTAAAACGAATTAATTTCTCTTTAACTGATCATGAGAAAGGAATTTGAATCAATTTCATGAATTACAAGTATTGTATTGCTCTGTTTAAGATCCATGCAACTTGAAGAGATGTGGTCGTGGAGAAGAATGTATATTGGATGAAAACATTAATGCTAAATGTGTATGCATCCGGGACTGTGCAGATGAACTGGATGACAGATTTAAGGTACATACCTTTGGAAACTGGAAATGGTTAAAAAGGTTTTCTTTCAAAATTTCCACCTCAACAAGAATTGAAATTGTTGCAAAAATAAAATCAGACAGTTAGAAGGCATTTATTTAATCACTTTGTAGAAAACATGCACGATGATGCCCATAGATGTATAAATATATATCCAGTAAATCAATCCATGCAAACTCAAGTTATGGTACACATGTGAATAACTTACTTAAGTCCCGTAGTTATCGTATGAAGTGTTGACGGACGGTCTGACGAACGAACATTGGTAATCCATGCGTATAAAAACATATCAATTTTGGGTAAATTATTTCCTTAAAAGTAACTTCTCTTATCTCTTATTTGTTAATTAAAAAACCTATAACAAACAAGTTTGTAAGGTGATGACAAAATGTTTAACAGACAATACAGATACTCTACCTTTATTCATCGTATGAGTCAATGCCATAATTGCTTTTATTTGGCGGTGATAGAGACATATATACACACATATATATATATGTGTGTATATACATCTCTGGCGGTGACAAACAAGAGATGCAGGAGTTCAGAATAATGTTGATTTGACATGTTTGAACTCTGTTTGTTCATTGTTTGATATATTTTTATAATATTCAAACCGAAAACTTTTATAATTGGAAACATTATAGTATTATTGATATCAATCTGAGATTATGTGTTAAAGCAGACTATAATACATGTCTCTGGTTAAAGTATTATCAGTATCAATACACAGAATTTTTATATTTTTCATTTTTATTTATGTCATGTATATAGGTATGCTCTGTCAGGAATGAAACATTTGCCAGTGAATGTCATCTAGACCGTGCCAAATGTCTATGTAAGAATGGAGACCATGAATGTAAGCATTCGTCACCAAAGAAACTCAGGCTAGATTACTATGGAGCTTGTAAAGGTAGGTATTTTGTTAACAGTACAAGTGTGGACACAAATCAGTGTGGATGGTAATTGTTTTATTTGTGTTAGTAATTTTGACACTGTTTTCTCCACTGAGTTTATGCATTGGTTGTGCCCCACCAGATGTTTCCTGAGCTATTTCAATGTCTTTCTCATAGGGTTCTCTGTTTATCTTCATTTATCAGTCATCTTGCATTTTCAGGTAAGTAGATATTGCAAAAGATTGAATTATCATAGTGCAGGGTTCTACATTAACTTTTTTGAACAACTTGCCCTGTGGCAAGTGACCATAATAGAATTACTTGTTAACAGTATGATAAGAATAATCTTATCTACCTTTATTTGTATTTATTTTAGATCATTTTATGTCATGCCCTTTTTTTAAAAGAAATATGGCTATATTTACTTCTTTCAACTACATGTTAAGACTAGTATTGTAGGTGTGACAGTTTGGCTGTGGGGAATATGAAAAAATGTGCAGTCACATTCCGTATGCTTTGGAATGTAAAATCTAAAGCATGTGTCAATAAGAGAATGTGAAACAATTTTCACAATAAAGAAACACAGTAATAATGTTGTTGTTTATGCCAAATTCACCAAGTTTTCATGTGGTAGTCAAAAGTATCCATGCCTTCTCCCGGACCACTCATTGTTTAGATCTTAAGATCTTATGAATTGATATATTGTTGATTTATTCTTTTCCAAAATATGAATGAAATTTTTAAAGCAAAAATTTGTTCTGTATACATTAAAGGATCAGATTAAAGACAAAATGTTAGAAATATGTTTTTTCAAATAGCTTTTCAAACAATGTCAATTTATAAATAGTTAGTATTTTCATTTGTTTTATGATGTATGTATGTTTTGGTATGGTCCTCTAAAAATATGAAGAATATTACTGTCCTGAGGAAACCCAAGATGAATATCAAAAGATATTTGCTTGAAATGACAATGTTTCCGACTGAACAAAGGGTGGCACCAAGTGAATAACAAGTCTCAACTCAGATTAAGGATAATTTTTTATTGAAATATGACAAACTTTTCTGTATCTTTCATAATAAATTTATATATATTTTTTTGCTCTATAATTTTCTTTATCTGAATTTTTTTTGTAAGACAAGAAACTTCCATTTTTTTTTTTCAGAAATGACTTCATGTGAGGACTGGGAGTTGCAACAGTTTCCAGGACGTATGAGGGATTGGACATTTGTAGTCATGAAAGAAATGGTACTTAAGTCTTTTTTTTTAATTAAGTGATATCATTTTGACTATTTTACTACAATCTCTAAATAATGTTCTTGTTTCTGAAATTTGGAGGTCAAATTAATGATCCAAACATTACACGTTTCTTTTAAAGTTGAAATACATTTAACTAAAGTAGCCTCAAGTGTAGAAGTAAAACACATAGTTATATTTTCCATTTTAGGCAAGGAGGAATGAATTAGGAGACTACCTTGAACTTCTGAAGACTGCAAATGCTGATGACCACCACACTGATGCTGTTATCTGGAAGTTTTGTAATCTGGATGTCAGACCCCAAGACAGGTATTAAATTTACACATTTATGGTTGATGATGGCTTAACCCTGAGATTACTATTACAATACACATTGTAGATCTAGTAATCTCAGCTTCAACATTATTAAAAATGACTGACCGTTTCTAAAACATATTGTTCAACTGGAGATTTGTTGTAATAAATTCATCAGACTATATATGAATGTAAAGCAAGTGAGTATATCTTATGTTATATTCTTGTCTTGTTTTTATATTTCATACATGTATTTGCACTAAAGGTATTCCACAACTTATAGAACTGATCACTCTATTTTGCAGACATGTTTCAAGAAGAGAACTTCTGATGGTAATTGCTACAATTAAACCATTGGAACATTGTCTGGTTCCCTTCCTTAACAAATGTGACGACAACAGTGACCATACTATCACTCTTGACGAATGGGGGACCTGTCTAGAATTGGATCAAGGTTAGTATCATCTATTAGTATATAATTACTGTTGAGAAAATTGTTATTTTTGACAAATATAATGTCTGCATGTCAAAATGAGCATAGAGCATGGCATGATAGAATTATTTCCATTCTAGTAGAAAAATTCTTAACTATTGTATGTTTAAGTGGACCTGTAATACATGTTTGAAAGGCAACAATTTTGATTTGATGAAGCCAAAACGTTGTAGAAAATCAACCGTTTCATGATTAAGAAATGAATTGAAACATGTAAACTTTAATACTTAGGAATGATTTTATTAAATCTCCAGGAATGATTTTATTAAATTTCCTAGCAAGCTACAATGACACAAATTTTCTATTTTGATCTCCTGTGTTGTTCAAAATATAATTGACAAACTGGTGTTGCAATTTTGATTGTAACGTCACACACCTGCACCTAATGTTCTACTGGAATTAAACATGCAATGTGTTTGTTTACAAATCAAAAGAAGTACATCATATTATATTTATATATTTGTTTCTGTTTTTTTCAGGTCATCTTGCTGATAAATGTGAGGCCATCCACAACAGAGCAAAGCGAACATAATTCTAATACACATAATGCTGATATTGATGAACTATTTTAATGCAAAATTTGCCAATCGCTATCAATGTATGGAACAGTCAAGTGCAACATTATATCAATTACTGTTCTTGTGGAAGACTTTTAATATCAAATTATGTGAACAATTATGAAACTGTCTCTTTTTCTACATGTGAAGTATAGATATCTGTTCTTAAGCTTGGAAGCTTTATATCGTTTATGTGTATGTAACACTATAGAAGTCTTGTAAATATGTACTTTTGTACTTTGTTCATTTTCTTTTGTTTGTAATAATGTAGGCATACAGTGTAATAAGATAGTTATAATGAGAATTAGCTATACCTTAGTACCTCTAGTTTAAAAGTCTTTCATTAATATAAATTCTGCACAAGGTTCAGGAAATTTGGTTGGGGGGAGGGGGTGTTTAAAAATCATTGATGATTTTTTTTATTTTTAGAAGCAAATTGATCTCACATACATACCACCCTTTTGTTCTGACCCTACGAATGTATTTTGAATCTCTGTGCCAATTTATAAACTAAAAATACTCTTAACAGCTTATGTTTAAAAAATTTAATAAAATTTGTTATCAACATTTTTTTGCCTTTATATGTGCTCCAGAAATGTACTCACAACATTTTGTTGCCATTATATGTGCTCCAGAAATGTACTCACAACATTTTTTTGCCATTATATGTGCTCCAGAAATGTACTCACAACATTTTAAAAGGTGAAATCAACACAAAACAACACAATGAATAATGCTACATTCTTAATTAATTGTTTACCCATTCAATATGATCTCGGTACATCAAACAAGATGTGGATTGCAAAATATCATCAACCAGAGTAATTCTGCTAAACAGATATGTGTGATGTGGTATGATTGCCAATGAGACAACTTTCCTCCAGAGACCAAATGAAGTAGAAGTTAGCAACTATATGTCACTGTATAGACTTCAACAATTAGCAAAACTAATACCACATAAGTTATGAATTGTTTTACATTTCTCCCGAAATGAGAAATGTAAAATGATTCTAAAGGAGAAAATTAACGGCCTGATTTATGTACAAAATAAAAAAAAAAACAAATATGTTATACAACAAAAATAAATGTGGATAGTGTCCACATGTGGACACAGATGATGCCCCCGCTTGCATATCATATGGTTATAAAGGGACATAACTGAAGAACGGTAAAAGTGACGCTACCAAAATTTGAACTTGATCTGAGTTTTGTGGTAATAAGCATTGTGTGTAAGTCTCATAACATTTGGTTGAGGCTAACAAAAGTAGAGAACAGAAACTAAAAATTCAGCAAATTTTCTATTTGTAAACACGCATAACTCTAGAACGGTTGTGTATAAGTTTTATAACATTTGGTTGAGACAAACTAAAGTTAGAGAATGGAACATAAAATTCAGCAATTTTTATGTTTATAAAGCGATATAACTCAAGAATGGTAAAAGTGTTGCCATCAAATTTCGTACTTAATCTGTATTATGTAGTAATAAGCATTGTGTATAAGTTTCATAACATTTGGTTGAGGCAAACTAAAGTTAGAAAACGGAAACAAAAAATTTGTACTTGATCTTAGTTTTGTGGTAATGAATATTGTGTATAGGTTTCATAATGTTTGGTTGGGGCAAACTTAAGTTACAGAATGGAAACTAAAAATTTTGCAATCTTTCGATTTATAAAGGGCATAACTCAATAATGATTAAAGTGACACTACCCAAATTCAACTTGATCTGTGTTTTATCAGTGGAAGTCAAAATTAAACATTTTTTGCATTGTATAAACCATTGATTGTTGTTGATTCAACTATAATCATGGACAAAGGAAGATAACTCCAATTTTGATAAAATTACTTGATATTTTAAAGAAAATAAAAATTTTGCAATTTTTCCATTTCTAAAGGGGCATAACTCTAAAATGGTTAAAGTGACGCCACCAAAATTCAAACTGGATCTGTGTTTTGTGGTAATAAGCATTGTTTATAAGTTTCATAACATTTGGTTGAGGCAAACTTAAGTAAGAGATTGGAAACGAAAAATTCAGCATTTTTCCATTTGTAAAGGGGCATTACTCTAGAACGGTAAAAGTGACGCCACCAAAATTCAAACTTGATCTGTGTTTTGTGTAAATAAGCATTGTGTATAAGTTTCATAACATTTGGTTGAGGCAAACTAAAGTTAAGAGAACGGAAACGATAAATTCAGCAATTTTCCATTTGTAAAGGGGCATAACTCTAGAACAGTAAAAGTGATGCCACCAAAATTCAAACTTGATCTGTGTTTTGTGGTAATAAGCATTGTGTATAAGTTTCATAACATTTGGTTGAGGCAAACTAAAGTTAGAGAACGGAAACCAATTTTGGGACGTACATACAGACGGACAAGGGTAAAACTTAATGCCCCCTCCGCTACGGCGGGGGCATAACAAAAGTTGATCAACAAGAACTAAATATTAACTGTAAATATAAATTTTGTCATGATTTTACACTAATGTACCGAAACAAAAAGCTCTTTCCCTGCAGGCATTACAAAAAAAGTTCAAATAGGTACAATTTTTCAAGAAATATATATTTATGTCCAAGGACTGTAATTCTGCAAAAACTAGAGGCTCTAAAGAGCCTGTGTCGCTCACCTTGGTCTATGTGCATATTAAACAAAGGACACAGATGGATTCATGACAAAATTGTGTTTTGGTGATGGTGATGTGTTTGTAGATCTTACTTTACTGAACATTCTTGCTCCTTACTATTATCTCTATCTATAATGAACTTGGCCCAGTAGTTACAGTGGAAAATATTTTGCAAAAATTTACAAAAATTTACAAAATTTATGAAAATTGTAAAAAATTGACTATAAAGGGCAATAACTCCTTAAGGGGTCAATTGACAATTTTGGTCATGTTGACTTATTTGTAGATCTTACTTTGCTGTACATTATTGTTGTTTACAGTTTATCTCTATCTATAATAATATTCAAGATAATAACCAAAAGCTGCAAAATTTTCTTAAAATTACCAATTCAAGGGCAGCAACCCAACAACATTTTGCCTGATTGGTCTGAAAATTTCAGGGCAGATAGATCTTGACCTAATGAACAATTTTATCCTTGTCAGATTTGCTCTCAATGCTTTGGTTTCAGAGATATTAGCCAAAAACTGCTTTTTACCCTATGTACTATTTTTTAGCCATGTCGGCCATCTTGGTTTGCGGGCGGGGTCATCGGACACATTTTTTAAACTAGATACCCTAATGATGATTGTGGACAAGTTTGGTTAAATTTGTCTTAGTAGTTTCAGAGGAGAAGATTTTTGTAAAAGATTACATAAATTTACGAAAAATGGTTAAAAATTGACTATAAAGGGCAATAACTCCTTAAGGGGTCAACTGACCATTTTGGTCAAGTTGACTTATTTGTAGATCTTACTTTGCTGAACATTATTGCTGTTTACAGTTTATCTCTATCTATAATAAAATGCTTCGCTGGGCGCAGCTTGATACGACCGCAGAGGTCGAACCCTGAACAGTTGGGGCAAGTATGGACACAACATTCAAGCTTGATACAGCTCTGAATTTGGATTGTGATTAAATATTTGACACAGCATAGGTTTCTGACACAGAAAGAATGTGGTCTAAGAACTTCAATTTTTTTAATTTACCTATTATGGTCCAATGTCCAAAATCAAAATACATGATTAGATTCAGCATATCAATGAACCCCATATATTCAATTTTTGTTGAAATCAAACAAAGTTTAATTTTGGACCCCAACTTGGACAAACTTGAAAACTGGTCCCATATTCAAAAATCTAAACACATGTTTAGATTCAGCATATCAAAGTACCCCAAGAATTCAATTTTTGTTAAAATCAAACTAAGTTTAATTTTGGACCCTTTGGACCTTAATGTAGACCAATTTAATAAAACGGGACCCAAAATTAAAAATCTAAAAACACGGTTAGATTTGGCATATCAAAGAACCCCAATAATTCAATTTTTGATGAAATCAAACAAAGTTTAATTTTGGACCCTTTTGACCTCAATATGAACCAATTTGATAGCAGGCCCACAAAATAAAAAATCTAAATACATGGTAAGATTCAGCATATCAAAGAACCCCATATATTCAATTTTTGTTGAAATCAAACAAAGTTTAATTTTGGACCCCAATTTGGACAAACTTGAAAACTGGTCCCATATTCAAAAATCTAAACACATGTTTAGATTCAGCATATCAAAGTACCCCAAGAATTCAATTTTTGTTAAAATCAAACTAAGTTTAATCTTGGACCCTTTGGACCTTAATGTAGACCAATTTAATAAAACGGGACCCAAAATTAAAAATCTAAAAACACGGTTAGATTTGGCATATCAAAGAACCCCAATAATTCAATTTTTGATGAAATCAAACAAAGTTTAATTTTGGACCCTTTTGACCTCAATATGAACCAATTTGATAGCAGGCCCACAAAATAAAAAATCTAAATACATGGTAAGATTCAGCATATCAAAGAACCCCATATATTCAATTTTTGTTGAAATCAAACAAAGTTTAATTTTGGACCCCAATTTGGACCAACTTGAAAACTGGGCCAAAAATCTAAAATCTAAATACATGTTTAGATTCAGCATATCAAAGAACCCCATATATTCAATTTTTGTTGAAATCAAACAAAGTTTAATTTTGGACCCCAACTTGGACCAACTTGAAAACTGGTCCCATAATCAAAAATCTAAACACATGTTTAGATTCAGCATATCAAAGAACCCCAAAAATTCAATTTTTGTTAAAATCAAACTAAGTTTAATTTTGGACCCTTTGGACCTTAATGTAGACCAATTTAAAAAACGGGACCCAAAATTAAAAATCTAAATACACAGATAGATTTGGCATATCAAAGAACCCCAATAATTAAATTTTTGATGAAATCAAACAAAGTTTAATTTTGGACCCTTTTGACCTCAATATGAACCAATTTGAGGGCCCACAAATAAAAAATCTAAATACATGGTAAGATTCAGCATATCAAAGAACCCCATATATTCAATTTTTGTTGAAATCAAACAAAGTTTAATTTTGGACCCCAATTTGGACCAACTTGAAAACTGGGCCAAAAATCTAAAATGTAAATACATGTTTAGATTCAGCATATCAAAGAACCCCATATATTCAATTTTTGTTGAAATCAAACAAAGTTTAATTTTGGACCCCAACTTGGACCAACTTGAAAACTGGACCCATAATCAAAAATCTAAACACATGTTTAGATTCAGCATATCAAAGAACCCCAAGAATTCAATTTTTGTTAAAATCAAACTAAGTTTAATTTTGGACCCTTTGGACCTTAATGTAGACCAATTTAAAAACGGGACCCAAAATTAAAAATCTAAATACACGGTTAGATTTGGCATATCAAAGAACCCCAATAATTCAATTTTTGATGAAATCAAACAAAGTTTAATTTTGGACCCTTTTGACCTCAATATGAACCAATTTGATAGCGGGTCCACAAATAAAAAATCTAAATACATGGTTAGATTCAGCATATCAAAGAACCCCAATAATTCAATTTTTGATGAAATCAAACAAAGTTTAATTTTGGACCCTTTTGACCTCAATGTGGACAAAGTTGATAACGGGGCCCAAAAATCAAAAATCTAAATACATGGTTAGATTCAGCATATCAAAGAACCCCATATATTCAATTTTTGTTGAAATCAAACAAAGTTTAATTTTGGACCCCGATTTGGACCAACTTGAAAACTGGGCCCATAGTCAAAAATCTAAATACATGTTTAGATTCAGCATATCAAAGTACCCTAAAAATTCAATTTTTGTTAAAATCAAACTAAGTTTAATTTTGGGCCCTTTTGACCTTAATGTAGACCAATTTGAAAACGGAACCAAAAATTAAGAATCTAAATACACGGTTAGATTCGGCATATCAAAGAACCCCAATAATTCAATTTTTGATGAAATCAAACAAAGTTAAATTTTGGACCCTTTGGACCTCAATGTGGACCAATTTAAAAACGGGGCCCAAAATCCAAAAACTTAATACACGGTTAGATTCAGCATATTAAAGAACCCCAAGAATTCAAGAATAAAACCCCATTGAAATTGATCAAGAAATAAGCAATTTATACGAAGTATCTTCTTTTGCACAATACTGTGCAATTGAATATTTCTTGCTATTGTGCAATACTGTACAATTGACAATTTCTTGCTATTGGATATTTCTTGCTATTGCGCAATACTGTGCAATTGAAGATTTCTTGCTATTGCGCAATACTGTGCAATTGAAGATTTCTTGCAATTGTGCAATACTGTGCAATTGAAAATTTCTTGCTATTGCACAATACTTATTATATAATAATTTACACATCCTGTTTGGTGTGTATCTCCTACCATATCATTATTATTTGCTTTTAAATATTAATCAGAAATAACCAACTTAAAATGGAAAATTTTAAAAGAAAAAAAAAAGGAAAAAAAGAAAAAAAAAGAAAACCCCCCCCCCCCCCCCCAAATTTTTTGAACCCCCTTATGATTCATCACCCCCAAACTCAATCCCAGCTTTCCCTTTGTGGTATGGTACCTTGCAGTACAATTTCAGAGAGATCCATACACTTGAACACAAGTTATTGTCTGGAAACTAGAAAAATGCTTATTTTTGGCCCCTTTTTGGCCCCTAATTCCTTAACTGTTGGTACCATAACCCCCAAAATCAATCCCCACCTTCCTTTCGTGGTATTGAACCTTATGGTAAAATTTCATGGAGATCCATTCACTTAAACTAAAGTTAGAGTGCGAAAACCAATGTGTCTTCGACGACGACGACGACGACGACGACGACGACGACGCAAACGTCATACCAATATACGACCAAAAATTTTTCAATTTTTGCGGTCGTATAATAATATTCAAGATAATAACCAAAAACGGCAAAATTTCCTTAAAGTTACCAATTCAGGGGCAGCAACCCAACAACGGGTTGTCCGATTCATCTGAAAATTTCAGGGCAGATAGATCTTGACCTGATAAACAATTTTATCCCATGTCAGATTTGCTCTAAATGCTTTGGTTTCAGAGATATAAGCCAAAATCTACATTTTACCCCTATGTTCTATTTTTAGCCATGCGGCCATCTTGGTTGGTTGGCGGGGTCACCGGACACATTTTTTAAACTAGATACTTGAATGATGATTGTGTTTAAGTTTGGGTGCATTTGGCCCAGTAGTTTCAGAGGAGAAGATTTTTGTAAAAGTTTACGGACGACGGACGACGGACGCAAAGTGATGAGAAAAGCTCACTTGACCTTTCAGGTCAGGTGAGCTAAAAAAGGGGCAATTGGACATTAATGCAAACTCATTCTGTAAGCCATCATTATACAGTAATGTATCAAAACTCAGATAATATCCAGGGGCGTAGCTGCCGTTAGGCACTTTAGGCACGTGCCTACACATAATTTTTTTCACAAAAAAAATTAATGGCAAAGTTATCTGTAGATGCACATGAAGTTGTCAAAACTCTTTAATTGACAAATGTCATTTGTACACTAGTCTATCATCCGTGAATGGAGTATTGGATAGAGTTGTATGTACATTATATTCCACCTCATGAAACTGAAAACTAGAAGACTCCTAGAACTTTGGCCTAGATCATTTCACTTCTATCAATAAATTCTTGAATGAACCTCAACATGCTCAAAACCCTGACATTTTATTCTTAGATACATGATTTTTTATTAGTTGTTGGCTTTCAAATAGCTTTCAACTTGGTCTTTATCCGACCTACAATAAAACCTTTGACAAAGTGGGGCGTTCGTTTGGCTGTGTGGGATGTATAAATACGCAGTCACGTCTGATCAGAATGCGGACGTTAAATCTGCTACCTATTGAACCTAGAGAATACCACGCTCTCTGCACGTTAAGAACACTTGCAACAACTCTTTAAGGGGTCTGACGGTGGTCTACATTGCTGAAAGGCAAATTTATGTCCCTATGCTATAAACCCTCATTTTCCAATGGCATTTCCAAATTTCCAGACCTTCATCCTAGACGATCCATATTACAGGACCTACCTGTTGTATTAATTGTAAACTTGTTTTTGTCCTGAACATGCGAGAATTATTTGCTAATCGTAACTTCTAGGACTCTCAATCTACGTCGTGTATATCGACCATGATTTTTTTCAAATTCCTAAGCTAGTAGGGATTTTACAGAACAAGTAAATACAAGAAAATATGAATTTCTTAAATTTTGTAAGATAGTATGAACGGAACCATGCTTCTGCATAAGGCGTCGACTGTGTGTGTGTCTAGGTGTGTGTATGTTTGTGAGGCTGGGGATGTTGAAGGTCTAAGAATCAAAAGATGAATAGTCGATACCTAACCCAAAGGGTAGTATTATTATACAGTAGTCTCAGTGTTTACGTACCTCGATGATTTTTTAATGAAGGATTGTAAATATGCTCCGTGTTAAAGACCGTACTTTGACCTATAATGGTTTACTTATACAAATTGTGACTTGGATGGAGAGTTGTCTCATTGGCACTCATACCACATCTTCTTATTTCTAACTATCAATTGATGTACATATATCAATTATCCTTTGTCAGAAAGTAATAGATATGAAAATACTAAACAGGATGTACTGCTTAATTAAAGGGCTATGCCGATGTACGCTGGACAATTCATTTGGTAGATGAAAAAAAAATAGAATTCCGATTGTACTGCCTTAATTCATCAGTCAGATGTTATTGTCAAATTATTTATAATTCTTCAAGCTTTTCTTCATGTATATCATCATGATAAAATCACCAGTAAATTTTATGTTATTTGTACACAAAATTTGCAACTAAAAATGCTGAAAATCGTTTTCCGGCAAAGCCCCCCTGAAACCCCTACCAGGGCTCTGCCCTGGACGAGCCCTGGATCCCTGCTGCAATTTGTGCCTACAATTGTTTGAATACCTAGCTATGCCCTTGATATCTACAGACGAAAAAAAAAAATAACACCATTTATTAGACAACTAGCTCTTTCAGTATGGTGAAAGAACAGAAAGATGTACATGGTAACAATATATGCCCCCGCCACTTAGTTGCAGAGACATAATTAGGAAAATATCACAGAAGACTAACACAAAGAAATAAGGTGTTTGATTTCTTATTTTTGTATAAGAACTCATGAAGACAATTATCCATTTACAATTAGTACCAACTTGGAACTTCATTTGCCAGCGAAAAACCTTTTTATCATATTTAATTCAAAAATGGTCAATATATGAAGTAAAACATAATATGCAACAAAAATTCATATTTATTCAATCGGAATCAATAAATAATAAGTAGAGCTAAAAATTAAAAAAAAAAAAAAATTTCAGGAATGTTTTTAAGGTGATCATTGTTACAGAAGGTTATCAGTTTAAGATGTTTAACTTCAGCATACAAAGTAGAAAGAAATCCATCTAGAAATATTTGCAAAGTAAGAAAAAAGAAACAGATTACATATATTTCAACACCATTATTCTATATTTATTAAGGTATCAAGACCTTTTTGTAGTCATAATCCTAATTATATTATTACTCTTTGATAAAACTTCATCTTTCTTTACAGGCCTCTTCTTTTGATTTTCATCACACGTCTGTAAAAATATACAGAATTATTATAAATGGACATAGTAATCTATCAATAACATATACACTATAAACTACATATGTGTTAAACAATTGTATTAATAGTGATCAATTTGATTTATGCCATTAAATGCTAAGGAAGCAACAATCAATGGACTATTTTCATATAAGCGACTTTTGACTATAGGGTATATAATTTTTTGATGGGTTACCTACTCTGTGGTAGGACGTTCTGATACTCTGTCAAATAAGAGCAACTAAAAGAAGTAAGATCAAGCTTATAATTGGTGCAATAGATAATCAAAAGTCAGTAATATGAAAATAGTCTACTCAATGTGGTTGTCTTAATGGATATTTAAGTGTTTTTTTAATTGGGTCTTATTTTTGTTTTAGTTTTTCATCAGGAAAATGGTAAGGATTGGTCAGTCAGTTTTTTTTAATTTTTGAATTAAGAATCACATGTTTAAAATACTTGAATGTAAGGATGTAACTGAAATTACTATGAATCCAGTCTTTCTGAATGTATCTGTTGTTGTTGATTATCTTTTTCATACTGTAAATATCAAACACAAAAAAACAGAACACAATGTTTTGGAGTAAAATTCTAATTGTAAGTAATAAATAATATTGGAAGTTGTCACAGATTTAATATAGATCTGCTTTTGGTAGGTATGGTATTGATGACTGGCAATGAAAAAGTTCAAGTTGAGGGCAAATAAAGAAACAAGAAAAACCAGAAGTTTTTTACAAATTCAAATTTTGGAGGTATGATTCATAAAATGATATCTAGAAATGTAAATGTATCCAAAATTTACATCAATTTGTACATGTTTTAGTCTGATGATCTCAAAAGCAAAAGGAAGCTTTCATCATAATACTTTTATTATTAAAGTTTAAAGGAGAAAGTAAGAAAATTTGCAATGTTTTGCTTTGAATAACAAATTCACAATACAGAATTATTTTGTTATATAATTCAATTTTGGATGTAACACGTCTTCTGATTGGCTGAAAGTTTTTTGTCTATCAGCTCATAGACATAATTTTGCCATGTGACCGGATGACGCCATCAACGTTTTTTCATGATTTGCTCCTTAAAATGGAATTTAGAATGAAATGATAAGGAATGACTAATATTTTTCTGTCTATTCGGAATAACCTCAAATATGTTGAGCACACTTTTAAATAACACGCTATGCGGGTTATTCAGTGTGCACCATATTTTTTATGTTTTTTCTTCATAGACAGAAATAATTTTACAGTCATTCCTTAAATATTATGTTAACTATACCTCAGCTCTTACAAAATCTCCTGTCAACATCTGTAAAGGGTAATGCAACATAACATTATATAATTCCTCCACTGTAGTTCTGGGTTTTAATAACAGGCAGTCAAATAATACTTTACTATCATTAAAACTATGTTTTCCTATAGAATGAAATGTATCTAAACAGTGCACTGGATAAGAATACACAGGTTCTTTTAATTTAACAGCAAGCCTCAAAGCTTCCAGCACATTAGTTGATCCATTTCTATTAGAAAAAAAAATATATAGAATTAATACAAAATCTTTTAGCAAGTGGACAAAGTAAACTTGTATTGGTGAACAGCTTTTCTACTACTAAATAATTCCACTTGTTTGCACTATCTGTTCAGAAGAACACAGTCCCAGGTCAGAGGAGGGTTGAGTGCTCCCAAAATTTTTAACCCTACCACATTCTTTATGTGCCTGTCCCAAGTCAGGAGTCTGTAGAACAGTGGTTATCATTGGTTCATGTCTGTCATATTTGTTTTTTGTAAATTGTTTTGTTATGAATTAGGCCGTTAGTTTTTCTTGTTTGACTTGTTTCACATTTTTCACGTCTTGGCCTTTTATAGCCGACTATACAATATGGGTTTTTCTCATTGTTGAAGGCTATAATTACTTACTACCACTTCATTTTAACTCTGGTGGATAGTTGTCTCATTGGTAATCATACCACATCTCTTCATATTTATACAATGATTTTTAAGCTGTAAGCTTACTTTCTCCCTCAGGGCAACTGCATGTTTGTGAACTCCTTAATCATTTATATCCAAAGTTTTATGGAAACTTGATCTAATGTCAATTGTACAAAATAATAAAAGAACCTTAGTGAGCGCGCTCACATACCCCACGTCCCCATATTGTCATTGGAGAAATAAAATAAGTGTAAGAAAAAAAAATTGTATCAGAAAAAAAAATTGAATCATAATTTCCTGTCAATATGCACATCTACATAGTATGTCCTTATTATCTGAAAAGGTTTCATGAAATTCTGTTGTGTGATTTGAGAGGAGTTGCGATGACAAAAGGTTGCAGTAGTATATTGGGCAAATGAGTTCAAAGGGGCGTAACTCCTGGGAAAAAAATTGAATCGTAATTTCCTGTCGATATGCACATCTACGTAGTATGTCCTTATTATCTGAAAAGGTTTCATGAAATTCTGTTGTGTGGTTTGAGAGGAGTTGCGATGACAAAAGGTTGCACTAGTATATTGGGCAAATAAGTTCAAAGGGGCGTAACTCCTGGGAAAAAAATTGAATCGTAATTTCCTGTCGATATGCACATTTACGTAGGATGTCCTTATTATCTGAAAAGGTTTCATGAAATTCTGTTGTGTGGTTTGAGAGGAGTTGCGATGACAAACTGTTGCAGTAGTACATTAAAGTAAATAAGTTCAAAGGGGCGTAACTCCTAGAAAAAGAATTGAATCATAATTTCCTGTCGATATGCACAACTACATAGTATGTCCTTATTATCTATAAAGGTTTCGTGAAATTCTGTCGTGTGGTTTGAGAGGAGTTGTGATGACAAGAAACAGGACTGACGGACTGACGGACGCACAGACGGACATACGGACATACGGAGGGACGGGTCAAAAACATTATACCCTCCGCAACTTGTTGCGTGGGGTATAAATAGGATAAAACGACCTATTTTTGCCAGAATGCTAATCTACCAATACTCCCTCAAGTGCACCTACATGTAAATTAAGATTATCCTATACATGAATTTTAAAATGAACAAATTACTTTGGTGTAAAATTAAATAAATGTGAGTTATACAAACTAAAATTTCCGAGTTTGTTGTACTCCAAACTAAAAATTGTTCTGTACTATTAAATAATTCTTGCAGATAAAATCCTATATTTCAATTTAATTAGATATAATATTTTTTTTAATTTCCATAAACTTGGAAATTTTAGTTTGTATAGCTCAAGTTTAATAATGAACAAGAGGTGAAAAATATCTGTAGAAGAACATAACTATCATCTTTCTGATTATGTTTCATGGAAATTTTTCTGATGGTCATAAATGTCAGAAAAAATATCTCTCTCCTTTTTTCCTTTAGGAGGCCTATTATTTTTGTCTTCACAACTGTTGAAATGATTACTGGAAATAAAACACTACATAGACATTATTAATCATTCCACAAAACAATCCCAATGAATCAGAAGATCTTTAAACTTTTAGTTAATCAAAATCAACAAATATGATATACATTCTTGACAAACTGGACTCATCAGACAAAAAAAGACAAATACATACATTTTTTCAACTGATTTTTATAGTTTGTTCTTATGTTGTGCTGTTACACCACTGACCAAGGTTAGAGGGAGGGTTGAGCGCTCACATACATGTTTAACTTTAACCCCGCCATATTCTTTATGTACCTGTCCCAAGTCAGGAGCCTGTAGTTCAGTGGTTGTCGTTGGTTCATGTCTGTCGTATTTGTTTTTCGTAAATTGTTTTGTTATAAATTAGGCCGTTACTTTTTTCAATTGAATTGTTTCATATTTTCATGTCAGGGCATTTTATAGCCTACTATATGGTATGGTTTTTTTCTCATTGTTGAAGGACGTACGGTTGCCTATAATTGCTTACATCCTCTTTATTTGAACTTGGGTGGATAGTTGTCTTATTTGCAATCATAACTCATCTCCTTATTTTTATACAGACATAACGAATTCAATGACAATAGCTTGCATTACTTTTTGGGGACATGTTAGCCTAAAAATACCACCAAAAGGAAAGAGACTCAAGGCTATATTGTGGCAGCCAGATTTATTGGTGGAGGAGGTATTCATAGCCCTATTGCTTTCTATGTTAAATTCTGCAATTTCAAGCATTAATGGCTACTTTGGTCTTAAGTTCAAATAAAGTGGCAGTTATTTCATGTCAAATCTATACCTTATCCTGACTTGTGCTGAAAAATTCAACATACCTTTAATTGCATATTAGAGCGTACTGGTTCCTGGAAGTTTGATAGTACAAAAACAGGTACTTCTGATCTGAACAAGAAGGCAAATGTGCCCTCCTATTAAAATTTTATATACTTCTTTATTATTTAAAAGAAACTTTCAACAAGGGTTCTACAGTGATCTCAAGTCCACAAGCTTTCATTTGATACCAAAACTACCCAAATATTTCACCTATTGACAAAGATACAGCTATGCGTAGAAACTATTTTGTTTAAAATATGTACTACTTTCTTGTATGTTCTTTACGACCGGGCCTGAATAAGTGGTTCTATACCAGGAAGCCATAGTAAAATTGAGATAACCACAGACCTTCAGCTTGAAAACTGACAATCCTAGTCAATTTACATTGGAGCCGAACGCACCATGCAATGAGCAAGTTTCAAACTCATAACCTCAGTGATTCAGGATAGAGATTATACTGTATGAACTATTTAGACTTAATTCAGCCATTGAGGACCCTCATAATACTGTTATAATAAACCTTATCTTAACAATATACAGACATGGTCAAAAGCTGTTTTTCATTTCCTTGAAAATTTTAGAGCAATTACATAATCAATGTCCATCAATATTTTAGAGTTAATGAAGCACTTTGCAATGCAAAGAAGCTTATAATCTGGTTCATTCCACATATAAATATACTTTATCCTGAATTATTCATTTCACTCACCTAGAAAAAATATCTTGTGCATTTTTGACGAAATTATTGGTGTTTATATCACAGTCTGAGCTTATAACAAAGTGGTTATCTCCTGGTTTATATTGTATCACATTATCTTTAGCTAATTTCTGTAACCCACATTCTGTTTTGGCACTTACTGGTATCATGGTATAGTCTGGTAATTCTTCTTGTATTCTGTCAAGCAGAATGAAATTTAATATTATAAGAGCTTATTTTATAACAAAGAACCATCTGTCTTAAAATTTAAACCTGACAAATTTCTGGATTTATGGGGATTTCCTTAGAAAAGGTGTTTTCTTTACTCATGAGTGTGTTCAAAGGTATTAAAATAGCTCTGAAGAGCAAATATACTAATTGAAAACCACATTATAATTTATATTAGTTGAAAACACAAATACATTGGTAACATATAAAAGAGTTTCTTGTGCTTAAAATCCCTTGAGAGATTTTTAAAAAGTTGGCATGTATGCACTTTTTAATGGTGTTTTGTATGGTATCAAGCAAGGAAACTTATCACTTCCAGCTTTGACAAAGTATGTGGTTATCAAAATATGTTCAAGTAGATAATAGTTTGATTAAATTAATTTCAAGCATACCCATCAGTCACGATACCTGCATAATATAAAAAAATTCTAACAAATATTTTGTGAATTATCATAACTATTAAATAAATAATCTGATTTTTTGGGAAGTATACTCAAAGCTAGTATATTAAAGTGTATTTTAATCAATGTTATTCTGTGAATCATTATAGATGTATTGTTTTTGTAAATGCTCTTTTGTTCCAACGTTGGAAAGTTCCGGGCGGAAAGAACTAACTAGCTGAAAAGTTCCGGAGGAACTTATTAACTAGTTACTTTGTTCTTCCTCTGGTTTAAAAGTTCCACCGGAACAAAGTGACTAGTTGAAAAGTTCCAACGGAACATTTCAACTAGTTAGAAAGTTCCTTTTTGCCAAATTAGTCAAAACCGGAACTAACAAACTGGCCCAAAAGTTCCATGGGAACTTATCAACCAGGCAGAAAGTTCCATTTGGAGAATTGATGCAAAGTAAAAGCGCAACATATTATATTTGAACCTTTCAAAGGGAAACCAAGATACTGATTACAAAAGTCAAAAGGAACTCATCAACTAGCCACAAAGTTCCTCTTTGGCAAATAAGTCAAAACCGGAACTAACAAACTAGCCCAAAAGTTCCAACGGAACTTATCAACCAGTCACAAAGTTCCATTTGGAGAATTGATGCAAAGAACCACATGAGGAGGGGGGTATTCTTCCCTCTCTTGAGGGTACTATGAATACTAAATTTGCATGATAATGCAACTTATTCCGTTTTATGTGAGCTATGAAATACAACTTAAATTTTGCATATTTGTCCCCAAAGAAACCCCTTTCAGTGTGTTGGGTATTCTTGTAAATTAATGATTTGCTCTTTTATATACTGATACTCATTCTTCCCCCCTCTTTCTACAAAAAGGACGAAATATGGTATATTCGGAACGATGTAACTAGTTGTTCTGTTCCGCCAGAACTATTCAACTAGCTACATTTTCCGGGACTTTTCAACTAGCTACTTTTTTCCGGAACTTTTCGACTGCACTCGGAATAAAACAACTAGTTGGAAAGTTCCATCGGAACGAAATAACTAGTTGAAAAGTTCCGCCGGAACAAAGTAACTGACGGAACATAGTGGCTGTTACATTTTCTCTCAACAACATTTTTTCCTATTTTGATGGTAACTACTGAATGAATGCTTTTGATATTACTCAACCATTAGTAAAAGAGTTTTATTTTTTGAAAAACTCATTCAGTTTAATCATAAACTTTTACTTTTCCTAGAGCTTTCTTAAGTTTATTTGAATATCAGTAAAGTAAACACACTCATATTGAAATTCTACAACACAATTTGAATTCAATACTACCATTTAGTAAATCTAAAAGTCTGACATTCTCAAACTACAGCCATATTGTTTCGGACAATTTCTTTAAAGTGGCACACATAAACTAAACAAGTTAATGCACATTTTAACCAAGAAAACACTAAAAATTAATTAGATTTCTTAATATGAAAATAATTGTACAATGATAGTACAGTGTACCTTTTTATGTTACTTTCTGAAGCTGTTAAATCTGCTTTGTTAAGTACCAATAACATAGGAAATCTAAGTTTTAAAAAATGATCCACAATTCTGTGAACAATGTCTTCTTTCCAGTCAGGTAGGCAAGATAGTTCTCTACAATCAACATATACAATATAAAACAGATATTTCACAAAATCATACACTGGTATTCATTTATGAATGAGCAAATGGAGATGAGTTGAATATGCCAACTAGACATCAACCAAACAACACAATAAAACAATATCCATATGAAAATGTTTTTTTTTTTAAAATTGTCTCCTTTATTTTTTCGGTTGCATTACACTACAAATGAAACATTTGTAAGTAGATAATAACTGACCTGCAGTGGCATATCCAAGGGGGGAATATGGGGGCATAAACCTCCTTTGGTCACCCCAAAAATAAAACATCTCATGTTGTTCACGATATATATATAAATTTTTAGTATAAAATCGTCCAAAAAATTTTGATAATAAATTAATGGGAATGAAGTAGTATAATCCCCCTCCCCTTTTCAAAAATCCAGGATCCGCCCCTGACCTGTTATACACAGTAGCTCTATAAATAAAATGCTTCGCTGGGGCGCAGCTTGATACGACCGCAGAGGTCGAACCCTGAACAGTTGGGGCAAGTATGGACACAACATTCAAGCTTGATACAGCTCTGAATTTGGATTGTTATTAAATATTTGACACAGCATAGGTTTCTGACACAGAAAGAATGTGGTCTAAGAACTTGAATTTTTTTAATTTACCTATTATGGTCCAATGTCCAAAATCAAAATACATGGTTAGATTCAGCATATCAAAGAACCCCATATATTCAATTTTTGTTAAAATCAAACAAAGTTTAATTTTGGACCCCAACTTGGACAAACTTGAAAACTGGGCCCATAATCAAAAATCTAAACACATGTTTAGATTCAGCATATCAAAGAACCCCAAGAATTCAATTTTTGCTAAAATCAAACTAAGTTTAATTTTGGACCCTTTGGACCTTAATGTAGACCAATTTAAAAAAGGGACTTAAAATTAAAAATCTAAATACACGGTTAGATTTGGAATATCAAAGAACCCCAATAATTCAATTTTTGATGAAATCAAACAAAGTTTAATTTTGGACCCTTTTGACCTCAATATGAACCAATTTGATAGCGGGGCCCACAAATAAAAAATCTAAATTCATGGTTAGATTCAGCATATCAAAGAACCCCATATATTCAATTTTTGTTGAAATCAAAAAAAGTTTAATTTTGGACCCCAAATTGGACCAACTTGAAAACTGGGCCCATAATCAAAAATCTAAACACATGTTTAGATTCAGCATATCAAAGAACCCCAAGAATTCAATTTTTGTTAAAATCAAACTAAGTTTAATTTTGGACCCTTTGGACCTCAATGAAGACCAATTTAAAAAACGGGACCCAAATTAAAAATCTAAAAACACGATTAGATTTGGAATATCAAAGAACCCCAATAATTCAATTTTCGATGAAATCAAACAAAGTTCAATTTTGGACCCTTTTGACCTCAATATGAACCAATTTGATAGCGGGGCCTACAAATAAAAAATCTAAATACATGGTTAGATTCAGCATATCAAAGAACCTCATACATTCAATTTTTGTTGAAATCAAACAAAGTTTAATTTTGGACCCCAATTTGGACCAACTTGAAAACTGGGCCCATAATCAAAAATCTAAATACATGTTTAGATTCAGCATATCAAAGAACCCCATATATTCAATTTTTGTTGAAATCAAACAAAGTTTAAATACTGGACCCTATCTTGGACCAACTTGAAAACTGGGCCCATAATCAAAAATCTAAACACATGTTTAGATTCAGCAAATCAAAGAACCCCAAGAATTCAATTTTTGTCAAAATCAAACTAAGTTTAATTTTGGACCCTTTGGACCTCAATGTAGACCAATTTAAAAAACAGGACCCAAAATTAAAAACCTAAATACACGGTTAGATTTGGAATATCAAAGAACCCCAATAATTCAATTTTAGATGAAATCAAACAAAGTTTAATTTTGGACCCTTTTGACCTCAATATGAACCAATTAGATAACGGGGTCCACAAATAAAAAATCTAAATACATGGTTAGATTCAGCATATCAAAGAACCCCATATATTCAATTTTTGTTGAAATCAAACAAAGTTTAATTTTGGACCCCAATTTGGACCAACTTGAAAACTGGGCCAAAAATCAAAAATCTAAATACATGTTTAGATTCAGCATATCAAAGAACCTCATATATTCAATTTTTGCTAAAATCAAACAAAGTTTAATTTTGGACCCTTTGGACATTAATGTAGACCAATTTGAAAACTGGACCCAAAATTAAAAATCTAAATACACTGTTAGATTCGGCATAACAAATAAATAAATGTGATCAAAGATTTTACAAATCTAATGCGCCATACTGTGCAATTAAAGATTACTTCTTGAAATTTTTCAATATTTGAAATTTGAAAAAAAAATAATATTTGAAGAATAATTCTTTTTAATTTCTGAAATCTGAAATGAGAAAAAATTGGCCCCCCACAATTTCTTTTTATCCCCCCCCCTTTTTCCCCCAAAAAAATTCTTTCCCTCAAGATATGGTCATAATCTCAATTCAAATTTCCAATGGAGTTGGCAACCATAATTACCCATTTAAATTTATCATAGTGCTAACTTAATCTATTTTATAATAGAATTAATAAAAATATAGTGTCAAATCTTTCATATGGATTTTTTTGTAAAAAAAAAAGATGAAAACATTTGCAGATATTTTTACTGGTCTTCCTTTATAAATATGCATTTCTTTAAACATAATTTAAAAGCAGTGTAAGGGAAGTAACCAAAACATTGTATTTGGATTACCTCCCTTACACTGTTTTAGATTATCTTTATTGTTCATTAACCATTACTTTATACATAATTTAAAAGCAGTGTAAGGGAGATAATTTCAATGATGTATTTGATTTATCTCCCTTACACTGCTTTAAATTATGTTTTGTACTAAAGTATTTGTCCATTAACCAGGACAACCTTGTTTTTCCCCCTTTTTTGCCCCTAATTCCTAAACGGTTTGAGCCATAACCCCCTAAAGCAAATCCTAACCATCCCTTTGTGGTATGGAAACTTGTAGTATAATTTCAGAGAGATCCATACACCGTTCCACAGTTATTGTCTGGAAACTAGAAAATGCTCATTTTTGGCCCCTTTTTGGCCCCTAATTCCTTAACTGTTGGTACCATAACCCCCAAAATCAATCCCAACCTTCCTTTTGTGGTATTTAACCTTATGGTCAAATTTCAAAAAGATCCATTCACTTAAACTAAAGTTAGAGTGCGAAAACCAATATGTATTCGGACGACGACGCCGTACGACGACGACGACGCCGGACGACGACGACGACGACGACGACGACGCCAACGTCATACCAATATACGACCACAAAATTTTTTTGCGGTCGTATAAAAATTACCTTTCTCTAATTCCTGCATTACCCAATGCTGTATGTATTGTTGCCCTGTTAGCATGGTAACCAGTGAACATATCTATCAATTTAGTTGGCTTTCTAACAATATTATCCCATTTACTCCACACATTTTGAAATATCCACTGATGAAGTTCTTGGTATAACCATGTTACATCTTTAATCGGATCATATTGTTCTGTTTCTTCTCCTTTTTCATTTGTAGTTCCAGAAATGTCAACTATGTGCACTAAAACATCAGCATCTAGTAAGTCATTTAAAAATCTGTTTCCCTTTCCTTTACCCTCCCAAGCACCAGGAACAAGTCCTGCTACATCTTTAATCAAAATAGGTACATTTCGATCCCCTCTAAAATCATGTCCATATGCAGCATCACACAAAGTCAGGCCAAGGTCATGACAAGGACAACATATAGAATAGTAAGCCTTTCCAATATTTGGTTCTATTGTTGTAAATGGGTGAGCAGCAATTTTAGCTAAGTCCATTTTTGTAGCTGCATTAAAGAATGTTGATTTACCAGCTGAAGGTTTCCCTATTAACCCAATTATATATTCCCATCTACCTCCTGTTGTCTTTGGTTCAGTTAGTTTTATTTTTGTCATCAAGTTAATATCCTCTTGTTCTTGAGAAATCTGGTGGAAAAAAAGAGGCGAAGGATACTAAAGGGACATTCATACTTATAAGTCAAAAATAAATTGACAACACCATGGTTAAAGAAGAAACAATTAATAGGGTGGTAAAGGGGGGTTCTGAACACGGAAACACGTGAAAAAAAAATTGCAAAAACGTTGCATGGAAAACAAACATCGGGAAAAACGAAGCACGAGAAATAAAATCGTAAATATTAATGAACAAAGTACTAGAAGTTATTACTCAGCCGTTCTGGGAGATCATGCAGTCATTATTAATAGAAATGAAGACCCTGCGGTCACCTTTTAGAGTCCGTTAGTTGCATCTGATTTGAAAAAAATATTATTCATAGTAATTTCATGGACTTTATTACATACCATACATATACAATATCCGGGCTGACTTTTAATTAGTCTGGTTTACCTTTGAATCAAATGCGGGACAAGCACGAGAAATAAAGATTACCGACATGAAACACGGAAAATAAATAAGGGGAAAAACGAAGCACGCACATCGACCCAAACACGAGAAAACGAGAAATAAAACGTCAACACAGGAAAACATGTGAAATAAAAAGGCCGAAAACGTTGCACAAAAATAACCCTTTACCACCCTCAATTAAAGATTCATCCATAAAATAAATATGAAAAATTTTCATCTTCAGCAATAAATGGGGCAATACACCATTAAGCTAGACTGATTTCAACAGATGACAATCGATTTTCTATGGATTCATGACTACTAATAATTCATAGTGCTAATAATTTGTATGAGACAAATCTATCAACCATTTTACTGTCCATACTTCTATCAATTTTGTTAAGAAGGTTCAAACAATATGTAGCGACTGATTTAAAAGAAAATGTATAGAAATCATGGGACACATCAAATTAGTATGCAGGACATTCTAAAGCTATGCTGGTTGTAAAGTGATATGATTTGACAGCAATATTTGAAATTGAATCATTTTTCATATTTGATCATGAATCGATAGAAAAAAGTTATTTTTATTTATTATTTTAGTTAATTTCTAAAGGTAATATACATTGAACATTGTAGCAATAATGGCACATCATTTTGATTTTGAGAATTTTTGAGAATTTGCATATTTAACATTACCGGTAATCTAAATGGGATGCCCATTTAGTGGAGTCCCTCCGTTAATTTTCAGCTGGATAATAAGACATTCTGCTTAGAGCTGAGAATGTGATAATTATGTTTATCAATCTTTTGTGTAAACTCATGTATCCAATCAAATTCATTTTACCTCTTCAATTGTACTTTCAGCCTGCTCATCAACATTTGTATTAATCCATTGCTGGGCAGCATCTACCAAGGTAAATATGACTGGCATGCCTAGGTTGTCATCTGTTATTGTATGCAGGTACTGTAACAGGTCAGACAGCTGCTTGTCTGATAAAACTTTGTTCCTCATTGGTATTTCTATTACAGGTGGGCTTGTCCCAGGATAGTCCACAGGCATTATGAACCTGACAGATATAGGACCTAAAGATATATCATTTTAAATATAATTATAAATTATCGATATTTCTTCCCGCAAGAGGGAGTTTCTTGGCTACTACTAGTATCTCAACGAAGGGCATAAGCCCTGAGATGAGATGTAGCTGAGAAACATCCTTGAATTTGAAAAACAATTGATGATCTGTTTAGTGCTATTTTCTTAGGTAATGCATACATTTTTTTATCTCATCTGAGAAAATCCAATATCTTTCGAGTAGGGTGATATGGAAAATTCTCATTAAAAAAATCAAAGGAAAATTTGAGAAAATAAGATAATCAAATTTATGTATTAACAGCATATCATTTTTTAAGAAAAATCTATGGATTCGTAAATGGAGATTTGATGATTTAATACAAAATTAAGAACATTTTTCACAGATTTTTTGTGCTTTTTATACAAAGGTCACCATTTTTGAAAAAAAATCATTCAGTAATATTTCAGAAAATAAAAGAGATAAATTACTTTTTTTTAATTTTAGTTAAAATTCAACAAGCCAAAGTTGTATGCAAAATTTTACCCAGATCTGTCACATAAACAATTTTTACTGTACCTTGATCTTAAGAAAATTAATGTTAAGACCTTTTTCACTGATTTAAGGTGTATGTAATCTCACACAAATACAAAACTATTCCAAGAATGCTCATTCATTAGTATCTATGAAAATAAAAGAGATAAATGCATTTATCTTTTTTCAGATAAATTCATGCAGAAGTTGTATGCAAAGTCTTTTAAAAATCTGTGACATAACATATCTACTGTAACTTGACCCTAAATATTTTCCTTATTACAAAACCATGTTACATAATTTTCTAAAGAGCTGAACAGTAGGATAATGAATGTCGAAAAATTCTACAAACAATACAACTTTTTACAATTACAAATGTGAATGATGTTTTTCATTTGATATTTTACCTGATAAGCTAACTGTTATATTGGTAAGCTTAATCATAAAACATGGCGGGTTACCCGATATCTCTGAAAAAAAAAAAGTATAACATATATTTAATTCTCGGTTCTGTGTATATGATATATCTTATACAGATTTTAAGTTCATCAATTTATTTAATCTCCAACAAACACATGTGTTGATAATCATTATAATCACAAATATTTTTTATCTATTACAGTACATTTTCTGGTAAATTTTGGTTTAAATCATGCAATCATATTTCTATTTTCATAATGAAATATATCCTTTATTTTCAAAAAAATAACTAGTTCATATTTTTTTTTTCTGGAAGTTTTCAGCTGATTGCACTGTCTTTTTTGTTCGTTTGTTTATCAGGTGCTGATTCAGCCATTTTGAAAAGGCGGTCCCAAACTCCCAACCCTCGGAACACCATGAAACGTTCACATAATTAAAAAGAAAATATAAGCGAAAAAAAGGGGAGGTTCCAACCCCAGGAACACCCCCTGGATCCGCAAATGTTTATATCATGTTTACTGTAAAGTGACAATACCCTACTTAATTTAATGTTTTTCACCATTTGGAATACAAATGCAGCCTTTTTGAAATGCCATAATTGTAATACAAAACCTGTTATATCTTCACTAAATATTGCATGAAGTGCCTGTAATTCTTCTTCTTGTTCTTCTCCAGCCATTCCTGTGAGGGAAAACTGACATTTAAGCATTTACTTATTGGACAATAAATAACAGATTTATGAAGATGAATAAATATTCACACTTTAGTAGAATTAAAATATGGCCAAGTAAAAATGAAGACTTTTAAATATTTTAAAATAAAATAGAAAATGTGACATGGAAAGTACCTAATAATCCACTAAAACATTAAACACTTTACCACTATTTTATGATTCTTTTTTCTTAAACTGGAAAACAGAATATAATAATAATTTGTTATCAAGTGCAAAATAGCTTAGCCATCCAAACTGTCCCCATTCGGCAGTGCTACTCATAGATTGGGATATACTTATCAAGTGCCACCTTAAATCCAAGTCACAGAAGTGTTCCAGCAGTTTCACCTGATTTTTCAAGTAAATACTCATATCTTCAACATCGTCTTTATTCATACCTTACATATCTACATGTCTTATACTTATCATGGTTATATGCAGGCATGCTCATAAAAAGCAATGGATGGCAAGGTGATACAGTGATAAGTTGTTTATATTTATTTTCATTAGATTTTAAGCATGATTGTATTTTTTTATCAAAAGGTCTATTACATCTTTTACAATGAAACCTTGCATACCAAGATGTAAGACAATTGTACATGTACAAGCTTAAGGTTAATGGAGTCTTTCTTAAAAAGTAAGGTAATGAAATCAAACATTTTAACGAGAACAGCTAAAATTGTGAAAATTGAACTTGACCTTCATTTAGTCACAGGAAACAACATATCTAAATTTGAAAAGATTTCGTCAAAGCCTTTTCATGTTAATGAACAGACACTGTTTGGCAGCCGCCCGCCCGCTGTACATCCCAAAATCATTAAACGATTTTTCTTTCGAAAATCTGGTTAATAATGTTTACGAACTTTTAATACATTAATCATTTTGGATTAAATTTTGTAGAACATTTAGGACTTTAAAAAAATTTATTCTTAGATCTAAGACAGGTTAATTATATATGACTAATTTTGACGACGATTCCTTCCATATACTTTATAGGAAAGAACATGCTTTTCTAAATTTTCAAATAAAAATCTTCTTTAATTGTCTAATATGCCATATCTCTAATAAAGAATAAAAAGATGTGGTGTGATTGCCAATGAGACATCTATCCAACAGAGTCCGAAAAGAAACAGATTTAAGTATTTATAGGTCAACTTATATACCTTCAACAATGAGCAAACTACATACTATATAGTCAGCTATAAAAGGCCATTACATGACAAAATTGTGAGAAAATAAATGGGGAATGTGTCCATGGGAAACAGATAATGCCCCCGCTTGCATATCATATAAAGTTATAAAGGGACATAACTAGAGAACTGTTAGAGTGATGCTGCCTGTACGAACTGGTCCTACAGGAATGTACAAGGAATCTAGTAGGAATTTGTTAAGAATTTCTACCAGGAAAGTGTGCATATTCCTGCTTGATAGTAGCAGGAATCCGCCAGGAAAAACAGCTGAAAAATTTAAATTAGCAGGATTTTCTTAGTAGGAATAATGTGATTCCTACCAGGAATATTCAAATTAGCAGGAATAATTTGGTAGGAAAGTAAAATTCCTACAAAATTTCCTGCTAATTTGAATATTCCTGGTAGGATTTTTTTCATAAATTCCTACCAGGAAAATTGATTTTCTAGCAGGAATCTAAAAATATACATTACAAACTTAGGTGTATACACATATACACAACTGGGTCATTCATTAGTTTGAATCTTAGCCACAAAGAACAAAGAAAACACATGTTAAAAATTCTTGTTACAAAATTTGACACTTAAATGTTTGAAGTAGCTATATACCACATATGAAAGTTGTGTTATAAACCAGGTTTGTAATGTGTTTTTGAATTTAATTATGATGGAAATAGATGTATCAGTTTTTTTGTTCACTCTCTAATTTTTTTTTTTTTAAATATTGGTATATATGTTTACAACAAAAATGTAGATCAGATGAACTTATAATATATATTAGACAAAATATGATTGAAGACTTAGGTTTCCATTTTTTGATAAGTTGAATTAATTTGACTATCATGCAAATTAGAAATTAAAAACTTCCTCTTACACATGAAAAAGTGAAGCTTAAATTTAAATACCTTCATAAGCAATCCTGTCTTACATTCAAATATTTCCCTCATGGTAATTATTCAATCTTTGCAGTATTGTTTATACACAATCTGAATCTTTTACCCTCCAACTTTTGAATTTGTTAACTGGAACCTGGTCTCTTATTACACAGCAAAATAAATGTTATAAGCAAACCGGAATCCAGTTAAAGATAATTGAATACAAACCAATAGCAGTCAAGATAATAATCCTGCTTAAATAAGAAAACATTCCTGGTAGAAAGATTTTCTGGCAGGAAAAAATATTCCTGTTACCCAAACCAGGAATGTTGTTGTAGGAAAATGAAAAATCCTGTCAGAAAAACTGAAGTTTTTCCTAGTACGTCTAAAAAGTAACAGGAATTTAAAATTTCCTGCTAATTCCGTGTGTCTGGTAGGAATCCTGCTAAATATTTCGTACGGGTACCCAAATTTGTACTTGATCTGAGTTTTGTGGTACATTGTACTAAGTATTCTGTATAAGTTTCATAACATTTGGTTGAGGCAAACTTAAGTTAGAGAACGGAAACGAAACAATTCAGCAATTTTTTCCATTTGTAAAGGGTCATAACTCTAGAACAGTAAAAGCGACACCACCAAAATTCAAACTTGATCTGTATTTTGTGGTAATAAGCATTGTGTATAAGTTTCTTAACATTTGGTTGAGACTAACTTGTTAGAGAAAGGAAACGGAAAATTCAGCAATTTTTCCATTTGTAAACGGGCATAACTCTAGAATGGTAAAAGTGACACCACCAAAATTGAAACTTGATCTGTATTTTGTAGTAATTAGCATTGTGTATAAGTTTCAAAACATTTCGTTGAGGCCAACTAAAGTTAGAGAACTGAAATGAAAAATTCAGCAATTTATCCATTTGTAAAGGGCATAACTCTAGAACGGTTAAAGTGACGCCACCAAAATTCAAACTTGATCTGTGTTTTGTGTTAATAAACATCATGTATAAGTTTCATAACATTTGGTTGAGACAAACTAAAGTTAGAGAACGGAAACCAACTTTGGGACATACGGACCGACGGATGTACAGATGGACAAGGGTAAAACTTAATGCCCCCTCTGCTACTGCAGGGGCATAAAAAACACAAAGACCTGATTTATGACAAAACAATTAAGGCAATAAATGGAGAATGTGTCCATGGGACACAGATGATGCCCCTGATTGCATATAACAATATAAAGGCAGATAACTATAGAACAGTAAAAGTGACGCCACCCAAATTCAAATTTGATCTGTGTTTTGTGGTAATAAGCATTGTGTGTAAGTTTCATACCATTTGGTTGAGGCAAACTAAAGTTAGAGAACGGAAACCAATTTCGGGACATATGTGCGGACAGACGTACAGACGGACAAGGGTAACACTTAAAGCCCTTTCCGCTGCGGCGGGGGCATGAAAACAAATATGACAGGCTGCAGACCAACAACAACCACTGAAACGTTATTAACATAATATTATTAAGTCACAGTACACTCGATCACTACCTAATAGTTGACTGAAATTTCTGCTCAATTTCTCAAATTTCGTCATTTTCTGGAAAAGCTTTGTAGCAAAACATGATACTTTTAATCTAAACAAGAAAACGAATTAACTTATCCAAAATTTGTCCGCTGAAATGAAATCCATAATATCTGTAGATTATTCACAGCAAATTTATATCCCAAACGTGTAAATAATAATACATTTTGGGACGATCCTTACCTGACACTAAGGAAAGAACATGTTTTACTTAATTTTCGAATAAAAATGTTCTTTTTATATCTGTCAAACCTCTGTGTTGCATAACTAACTTCGAGAACTTGCAGCACAACGTGCAACTTCCGGTTTCACTTTCACTTTAATGTTTATTCCAAATAAGGTCCCTCAGAGGGGCAGGATAAAGATACAATCATAATATTCAGTTATTTCAACAAATATAAACAATACAGCTTATATCACTAGAGTAATAAAAATAATAACAAGAAGGAGAGAAAAAAAGAAAGTTGTTAATTTTCAGTACTGTTTAAAGAACACGCGGGGTGGCCGTCAGTATATATTAATCAAGGATTTGTCACAGCGAAGAGAAGTTGGCGGTACACTTGGACCATCTAAACTGCTGTTATAACGATACAATATGAACGAGAATGGTGAGAGATTCTTGGTCCTATAAAGAAAATACCGGAAATCTATATTTATAACAACATTTTAGCTTTAAAATATATAATATAAGAACTTGAAGCGATATCTGGTTCATATGAAGCATTTGAATTCACTGTCTAGTTTGTCATATAATAAAAGACAGCAAAATAACAGGACAATAGTGAAGTCACATGCTTTCTAAGCTTTTATCTATTGTCTATTATCTGAATTTGCAAAATACTTGTCTAAAATTAAAAAAAAATCAATGTGCATAACTAATTTCATCGACACAAAGTTGTCTCATGCCAAAACAATATCTATATATTTTCCCCGGGCGCCTTTTCTTTTCCCCGGGCGTTTTTTTTTTCTTCCCCGGGCGCTTTTTCTTTTCCCCGGGCGCTCCCGGGCGCTTTTTAGTAGGACCCGTATAATCATAGATAAAATAGCCATAGAATGATATGGCTGTTATATCTATGGTATTACATAATTATCAAAAATTTCAAGTCAAATAGAAATCTTCTACCCTCAATGTGTTAAAAAATATAAAAAGGGGAAAGTGGTTGTCTCATTTGGAACCACAGGCACTCTGGCAGAGACCCCCCTTTTTTATTCTTAGGTAAACGATAGAAAAATGAGAATCAACCAAAGTCGAAACTCAGATAAACCAACTGAAGTTATCTTAAATTATATATATAATTTTGGCAGACAACATTATTATGTAGGCCTAATTGTTATTTCCCTTAAATTTTTTATAACTATAAATTTCATATTTCTCCATTTAATAATGTACATGATGCTTATTCAGTACATATTTGTTAAATTGAATAGATAATGATATTTTGAATTCATTGGTTAAAGCTGGGATCAATATATATGTTCCTGGTTAAAGATATTTATTTATATTCTAAAGATTAGTATTTGCATCGTCGCAAATCATTTATAACCTTCTTTGATAGACTTGTACATTTCACATAACTGGTTTGGAATTATTAAGTTGAATGGTCTGAGGACTGGACTGATGTTCAGTCCAACCTACGTGCTTTTCCAAAACTCCCTTTAAGGGTAGTGCATCTGCCATATGCCTTCTTTAAACGGGTCATTATTGAATGCTCAATTTCTTTACTTTTGGTCTACATGATAAAAGTTGTATTAGTTGCTTAAATTATATAGTTTTCACTGTTTTTGGTTTTCATTTACTTAGATATTTAGATAGCGCTTTTACATTTGGCATCCATCGTCTCCGTTTAAATCAGTTCACAAACTAGAACAAGCTGTGGTCCGCATCCCCGAATCTCCAGCAGAATTGCTCCTGCTACATAACCGCAGTGGCGGATCCAGAGGGGGGCGTAGAGGGCGTACGCCCCCCCCCCCTTGTTTGAACTTTTTTTTTTTTTGTAAATTATTAATCAGACTAGACTTAGTGAACTTTGCCATTTCCCGGCAGTGTATTTAATTTTTATGCGACAATTCTTTACTTATAAAGATATTTTTCGCTCGTATTTACTGTAATATATTATTGATTTTATTGAATTCATGTGATTCGCTACGGTGGAGTTGATCAGTACGTCGAAAAAACGACACTCAGTCATGCACTTTGAAATTCAAATTACAGTAACACATTGCTTAGGCGGGAGATGACAAGCATGACGCCTTCAAAGCGACAAAGGATTGAGCAAGAACGTATTGACTTCTATTTCACAATTCCACTCAACAGAAAGTAATACTCTATTACACTCTGAGTCTCATGAAAAAAAAAGTTCCAAAGCAATATTATTCACCTACGAAAAATATGTGTAACCCCACACGCCCCAGCCAATTAATAACATTGCTGAATAATGATCCCCAGTCAGTAAGCTCTAGATAGATTTAAAATCTAAGGTACGGACCATTTGATTTGATAGGGCAGTCTGAGATATTTTAGAGAAAAAATTTTGACCCTGGTTTTTGCCTTAAACAAAAATTCTGGCCGTATCTGTATTGAAAACAATTATCGTGTCCCCTTTTTTGAAATAAGAAAAAAAAAATCCAACAAAATTATTCAGCATTAAATGAACATGGTGAATCATGGCCCTGAAAAAAACGGGCGTAATTTTTTTGGGGGGTTTGCATGTAAATCCCATATCTGACCGGAATGTCTGTTTCGCCGAACTGATATACTAAATACTTTTTTCAAGGCCCAACTGCCGCTTAGAACCTGCCTGCTGTGTGTGGCCTTTATGTCTCTATTTGTCGACCGTCAATCACAACTTCGTTGGCATTTGATTTTCAGACTCATTCGTAGCCTTTGGTTGATTTGGAACTCCTCATTTCCCTTGTGGGTGAAACATTTCAACCAAACATTTGGATAAAAATTGCTTGTTTGTCTTTGTTTGTGTCGGTCGTATTATAAACTTCATTGAGTAGCCGTATATCATGTTTACAGCAAGAAATCTGTAAGGTTATGCTTATTAACCATACATCAAACGAGAATTTTCCATGTCCACTTTTTACTGACAAATCCCACATCAAATATATTAGTACATAGCTTTGGATCCATTCAATCATTTTATAATAGACAATTAATTGGGAGAATGCGGCATCAAAAATGTCCAACCCTAGCTTACACTTTAACTATAAAATATACATGCCCCACGTCAGGAATCGTTAAAAATGTGCATTTTACACTTATTTTATGTTTTTTAGCCCAAAAAAGGTAAAAAAAAATTTCGCCTCGCTCCGCTTGGCGAACTTTACATACTACGCCCCCCTTTTCCAAAATCCTGGATCCGCCACTGTAACCTTTTCCGAAATTTAACATGATATTCAGATTGTCGTAGATTGACCTTTCAAGTCTCCCGAAAATAATATATCATTGCTAACATTATTTTATAACTAGACGTGGAACTTTTAATGACCATTTCTCTGTTTAGAATAATATTCGGTAAAAATGTCATGGAAATCGACAAAACATTTATCACCATTCCTCATTTGTAAATTACTGGAACAAATGAACAAAATATGTAATCAATATCCTCATTAGTTGCATCTAATCCATTGAGTTCACATGCATATTCATTAGTTATTCGTATAAACTCTTTTATCAAAACATTAATACGATTAAAAATGAAATAAGGACATGCTAAATTCAATGTAACTTCATGATGAACTTGGAATATTCTTTTTGTACAAGGTTCCTTGTTTTCTGTTTGTCATTCACGTTCTTTTATCAGGAGCATAGTTGTGAAGAAAAAGAAGGTAAGAAATATTTTCCATGAACGCGATATTCAAAAATGAGGGTCACCGTACGCGTTATCCGAACAATGCATGCCCTTCAAGTGATCGATCCCTCGCGACCCAACTCGCGCGTAGCCATCGTAGAGCAGCAAAATGTAACGTTTGAATTAATGTCCGATGATTAATTGGATAAGGACCACTGCAATGATTTGTCACTATCTACCATAAGGTAAAACAAAAATTCGTAAAAGAGTTTTCTTACAACAAATTTAAACATGCATTTTGTATCCATACTACGAAGCGATGTTTATAAGTATTGCATGATGTTTTTATTTATAGGTAAACAGAAGATAATTTTGACAGTAGAATAATAATACTTTTATTCAGAAGCAATACAGCTTATAGAATATAAATTTTTACATAACATTTTAAATGCATCAGTGTAATATTAATAAAAGTAGAAAACGATTTAGTTTACAGACATGCAATTCAAAGAACTGATAATTATTTCAAAAGCAAATTTAATTCAAACATTTTGATATTGAAGCTAGATGCGATTGATTTCGTTAGATTGTATAATGGTTTATCAAATTATGCAATAAGATTTTTTAATTTATTTTTTTTACAATAAACAGTTAAAAAATCTGAGATTTTATTCTTATGCATACATGTAGCATTAGACTGTGACTGATTTTAGAAGTTAATTCAACATGAACTACATGTTTTGATATGATTTCATTGCTACAAATGGATGCTCAATATCTTTATTTTTATTTCTTTTCACAAATTCTTATTTTCTATATGACTGATTTATGTGTTTTTAAACGATTATATCTGGGACTATTATACTAATATAGATAGTACATCTTATCTTACTATATGTGAGTAATAATTTGATTCTTTTATGTTGACAATGCAAATTTTCGTAGTACATGCATGTACTTTTCAAAAGTAAATATCAAAATTCACTTTTTACAAAGAACCGGCAAAATAACAAATTCACTATATTGCCGGTGCCGGTAAAATAGCCATTGCTATAGAAATATACTATTTTGCAGGCTTAAATTATGATATTTTAATCAGAGTCGGCAAAATAGCATATTTTCTGTTTTGGCAAAATAGCCACTGCCTTTTATTCAGCCCATAAATTATGCATACTCAGAAAATATTTTAATTCACTCTGTATTTATTTGTCGTGTTTGTGTTAAGATAAAAAAAAAGTGTGAAAGACTGCATATGACAACAAAGGTGCGATTATATTGTAGTTGTTTTTAACCTATAATTCAAGTTTATGAATTCATTTTTTCTGGTTTATTACAGTATTGCAGATTTCGTAAGATTAATGTATGTATGTGAATGTAATATTCGAGAATTGGAATTAAGCAAATTGTGCAGACTCGGTTTTGCTAATTTCTTTTCTCTCATAAATATAGAATATTATTGTGGGATTATGATTCCATCTGCAGCAATTTCGAATGTTAGATAAATTAAGCGCTTGTGCTGTCAAA